CAATTTTTTTAATAAAACTACCAATGGTTTCCTTTTTATTATATTAAAGTATAATACACAAGGGCACAAATAAGTGGGTATTTTTATGTGCTTCTACTAGAAGCATAAATTAATATCATTTTCCTAGGAGGCAATTTTGCAAAAGATCTAAAATATGCACACAAAATCTGCTAAAAATTCTACTTTTAGAAATTTATTATTTAAAAATCCTATTATTGATGTTACACAGATTTAGCTTTAGGATGTTCACAGAAAAACTGTTTATGATAATAAAATACTGAAATGTGCCCCAAAAGAGAATTATTAAAATGAATTATATATAACAATGAAATATCAACCAATGACAATTATGACAAGAAAAAATTATGATGTAAAATTTTTTCTTAATATAATATTTATCAAATGAAGAAATCTACAATATAAATCATTTGAGAAGATATCAGTTTATGTTTTTAATTTAAATATGTATTGGTTGAGAAAAACTGGAAGAAAATACAACTAAATGTCAGCAGTACCTATTTCTGTGTAATGAAATTATAGGTTATAGTTTCATTTCTCCTTGTGTTTTCACTTTTTAGAAAAACTTTTAATAATGAACATGTATTTCTCTAGTACTAATATTTTAAGAAAACTATAGTATTTACAACTATATTCTAATACATTTGATGAACTCAGTGAATAAAACTGTTTTCCTGAAAGGAAATAGAAATTTATCAGAGAAAAATTATGTATATTTTAAAAATTTTTGGTATCTGGGATAGAACTTGGGACTTTATACTTACGAGGCAGGCGGCAGCACCACTGAGCTAAATCCCTGGCCTCTTGTTGTTTTTGTTTGTTTGTTTGTTTATCTCACTGAGTTTATAGGTACATTTTAGGTATACAGTACAGCTACATTCATCATTGGCATCTTGTACCTTTACGTGACAGATGTTGGTTCTCATTTATTTCCCATACCCCTGCCCTCCCTTCACCCCCTTCACCTTCCCCTATTTACAAAGACTGTTGTTGTTTTCTTGAGTTAGAGTCTCACTAAGTAGTTCAGGCTGACCTCAAACTCAGTGATCTTCCTGTCTCAGCTTCCTGAGAACTGGAATTATAGGCATGTATCACCACACCTGACTACAATTATGTATTTATACATAGAAAACCACATCAGTTACTTGTTGGGATTGCAGGTGATTTTTATTTTCCTTGTAATCATCCTTTTCAAGATTTTTTCCACTATGGAAATCAATATGGAGATTCCTCAAAAAACTGAAAAAATGGAAATTCCATTTGATTCAGCTTTCTCCTTCTGGTATCTTCCTGAAACAAAGACATCAGTTGGACATGGTGACACACACCTATGATCTGAGCACTAGGAGGCTGAGGCAGGAGGATTGCTGCGAGTTGGACACCAGTTGGGGCTACATAGTGAGTTCAAGGGCAGCCTGAACTACATAGAAATAGCCTGTCTCAAAAAACCAAAAAGGAATTAAAACCATCATATTACAGCGATCTATGCAATACCCATGTTTAGAGCAGCATAATTCATAATAGTTAAATCCTAATAGCATCATATAAGTATATTAAGAGATCAATAGGGAAAGAAAATGTGGTATTTATATACAGTAGAGCACTAGTCTGCCACAAACAAGGATAAACTTGAGTCATTCGTAGGAAAATGGAGGCACCTTGAGACCATAATGTTAAGTGAAATAAAATTAGACACATGGACTTAAGTATTGCATAGTTCTCTTATATGAGAAACCCAATATATAAATAAGGTACAAAGTAAAAGACAGACAATAGGGGAAAAAAGAGAGAAAGTTATTGTAATCTAGAATGGCCAGTATATCTAAAAGTGTATCTTGATTTGGTATAACTGACATATGTATTTTATGCTTTTGACCTGTTAGACTGGCTATTAATCTGTGTTTTTGATAATAAACTTTATAAGAGCTTTTAAGATAAATAAATGAATCTGATTCAGGCAAAAAAAAAATTAAGGGTTGAGGGGAAGGAGAAAAAAGAATTGAGATGTGTTCTGTATATTACCAATTCCCCACAATGAATGCAAGCTGCAAATGTGTACCAATAAAAATGTTTTATTTAAAAAAGAAAGCCAAATAAAAGATTTCTGTTTCAATTTTGGGTACTGAAGATCAAGCCCAGGGCCTTGCACAAAATAGGCAAGTGCCCTTCCGCTGAGCTCCCTCTCCAGCCCTACCAATTTTAGTGTTCAAGCTTTCTCTAGTAAATATGAATGACTCATATGATCAGCAAAAAGGCAAGAAAACAAAAAGGGGAACTAGGGGGAAAAGATGTGTGTAGACTTTTGTGCTATTGAAATATTGAATCTCATGTAATCCTAGAGACGTCCAGCAAAACTACAGACCACAAATATAGGCTCATTCTGTTGATCCCAACAAACTTCATCCTGGTCTCTGCCATGTGCTCACAGAACCAACTGAGGCAACAGTACCCTTGGAATGTTTCACTGGAGAAGGAACCAGATCAGAGAGGGCAGCCCTTACTTTCCTGGGCCCAGAAAGTACAAAAGGAGAACGATTCACACTCAGGTTTGCTCACTTTCTAAGCCCATGGCCAGTTCACTTTGTGAATATTTTTATGTTCCTGTCAAAACCAAGACCACCAAAAGGTTGCTATAAATTCTTAAGCCATAGTGCAGAGGGTCTCCTTCAAGATAAATACAATCTGCTTGGAATGCATCAACTTTATTGAAAAATATTACAGAAATCAAAACATTTGTAACTCTTGATTCATTATTTCTATGGTACTCTAGGATTTTTGTGGGATTTGTTTTTCATTTTACTTCTATAAGCCTGCCAATGTTTTAGAGCAATATTTCAATTGGGAAGGAAAAAAATACTGTTCTCCTAGAAAAAGGCCAACAATGTTTTCCATCCTTCCTGCATACGGTTTTGAATAATTCTCCCCTCCCACTCCCCTGTCACTCCTCCCCATTGCCCATAAAGTGTAAATTTAATGCTTGAGCTACTGGTAAATAGCTCCTAATATTAAAAAGAAATTAAATTTGTGGTTGTGAAGTCTTAAAACAGTGATCACACAGTCAGCAGTCCCACCTAAGAATCATAAATTATCTTGATGCAAAGGCAAGGAAAAACCAAGCTCTGGAGATCCTGGAGGCCTTTGTGGCTTCACAAGGTGATAGACAGCTACAGGGACAGATGTTCAAGGACCCGCTGCACCTACTGCCTGCAGCCAGCACAAGGTGTTTTGTTCTTCTAATCACTGGGCAGAAACTTGTGATTCCAGTGAGTTCTACACACTTCTAGCCCTTGAGAAGTTTATAATCCAGGCTCGGGTACAAGTGAGTAGATTTCTCTCTCTCTCTCTCTCTCTTCCTCTCTCTTTGTCCTCCTGGGTTCTGAGATAGAATCCAGGGCCTCAAGCACACTAGACAAGTGCTCCGCCACTGAGCTGCAACCCCAGCAGAGGGCAGGTAGATTTTAGAAAGCAAATTTAACTGTGCAGCTGCCTGGCAATCCTGTGACTGTGAGTTAGGATGCCCCCAAGGTACTGGGCCCCATGGAAGGAAGAAGAAAATGTGTGGACCCTCCCCTCACAACCCCACCTCCCCCTGCAACCCCAAAAAGCTTTGCAGTCATCTGCTTCAGGTTCCTATATCCCCACCACTGTTATTTTGAACAAAGAACAATTCAGCTTTAAAAAGAAAAAAAAATTCTTTTTAAATTTCAGAAGCTTGGGAAAAAAAAATGCCTATGTGAGAAATCAGAGAAACTTCATGCTCACTGGATCATTGAAAACGTAAGCACATTTTCAACTGACAAGTGCTTTAAATGAGCTTGCACAGTCAAAACTCCTCTATTATTACTTTTTTTTTTTATTAGTAAACGTCTGGAGTACATAATGTTTACATTCCCGTGCGGAGTTGGTACATGCACGTAACACATTGTAATTCCCTTTCAATCTCCTCCTCCCTTCCCCTCCCTTCCTCCGTCTCTTGATCCCCTTCCCCTTTAGAAAGATCTATCTCCCTACTTCCTACTGTCCATCTTTTATTTTGTTCCTTACTTCTAATTTGGGTTTCTCATTAAGAGAACCCACGTGACAGTTAAGCTGCTGTGTCTGATTTATTTCCTGTAACATGATGGTCTTAAGGTGAATCTGTTTTCTTACATGTGACTCAGGTTTATATCTCTTTTAGTTCATTGTATTGGTACATTTTGGGTATAAGTATAATGACATTCACCATTGGAAATTTCCATCTTTACATAATCTATCTTGGTTCTTAATTTTTTTCCCATTCCTCTGCAATCCCTTCAACCCCTTCACCCCTCCCTATTTACAAAGACTTTGTTCCCAGTTTTTCATTTTCTCATATTAATTCCATTTCCTAAGGGCTGGGGATTTAGCTCTGAGTTTCCACCGCCAGCCTCACAAGCATAAGGCCCTGAGCTCAATACCTGGTAACCCCCGAAAAAAAAAAAATTCTGTTCTTTTCTTTCCTTCCTCCTACCCCTCCCACCTCCCCTTCCCCTTTGCCCCTTTTCTTCCTATTTCACGTTATCTTAGACTTTTGAGTCCTTATTTACACTTTCAGTTTCTCACACCAGAGAAGCCATTCGGTACTGGCACACGTGTGTCCTATTTATTTCACTTAAGAGTGCAGTGTATCTTTTCTATGGCATCACGTAAACTCTTCCTTCAGCAGCAAAGGAAACTGAGGCCTGGCCGGAGGAAGAGCCCTGTGCTGGGCCACAGAGTTGTCCTCAGGAGGAGCCACAGAAGAAATCAGCGGTGTTACTGTTTGTTGCTTTCCAGCCGGAAAACTCTGCTGCGAAGCTCACGTTTTTGAGATGCATTTATGCACTTATTTCTGCTTCCTAAGAAGACATCCACATGAGCGGAAGAGCTGCGGCAACCAGAGAGCAAATATTATTAAATATTGAAATTGATTTTGAGCTTCCTGTCACTTAAGGTAAAAACAGAAACCCACTGTGTCCTATGTCCTCATGAGTGAGGAAATATGAATTCTTTAAGAAAGGCTATGTCAGGAAGAAATGTTCTTATGCAGCCTCACAGGAAATAAGGTCTGCGCTCTCTTTCGCATGGAAGACGCCCGCAAGTTGACAGGCGCTAACTTCCCCACATAGACTGACCGTCAGTTGGCACATCAGCACTCGCTTCCACTGACGTTGTAAATGAGATCGTTGGTTTTGTAAATTGAGAAATGGAAAGTTTGTGTCTTCTTGTCTTCCTTTTTAGGGCTACCTCAGCCTTGTACTCTGTGTCCTGACAGCACTGTGTACTCCACCTTGTACTCTGTGTAACTGGCATTTCCAAAAAGTTTCAAAAAAGCATACAGACTCTGCAGGGAGGATCCTCTTTCGCCGTTCACAACACAGGGCAGTTCATCGTCACCACGACCCTTTCCGGTGCCTCAGGAGGCCCCGCACACAGGGATTCCTGCCAAAACTGAGCTGTGAGCTGGGCGTGTGCAAGACACCATTGCTCCCCAAAGCACACCCTGCAAGCTCCTGCCCTCGGGGACCTATGTCTCATGGCTAAGAAGCCAAAAGTCAACATACAAGAAAGAGCAACAAGCAGAGACAAAAGAAGAAAATCACAGACAGTGGTGCATCCTGGAAAGAAACCAAACCAAGGAAGTGACCGACGGACATTTAGAGTGGGGACAGCAGGCCTGGTCTTATAGTGGGTGGTCAGCGAGGGCCTCTTGGAGCAGGTTGCAGTTAAGCTGAAACCTGGAGGATGAGAAGGAATAACCAGGAGTGCAAAGTCCAGGTAGCGCCAGCAGAGCCTGCATCAGCACCAGGCCATTCCCGAGGTCTCCCCTGCCTCCTGTCAACCTGCTCTGCCAGCCCCGCTCAGGGAGTGGCAGTGGCCGTGGCATACGCATGCGCTCTGAGGGTCGGGAGGTGCGGGACTTGATCAACACCCTGCGGTCAAGAGCAGCAGAGCAAGAATTGAATACAGGAGCGTCTGTCCCCAAACCCGTGATGCTAGCACTGACTTTAGTTGACCGATTGATTAATCAGCCACCTAGTTGCATTGGCAGCATGGGTCAGCTCCTTAAATAGCTAGTTGCCTAAACGTTTTTATTGATTCTCAGGTTTATTCTCAAAAGAGTTCAGACCCCCAGATTTCTGTACTCACTGGAGCCTCCCTTAAATAGGGCCCCTGCCCCACTCCCCCTGGGTCCGTGGTACAGAAATCCCACGAGGCTTTCTCCTCAGGTACGAGTTCAGACTCAGGAATTCCCACAAACAAGGGGTTTCAACCACATCTCCCTAACCCTCGCCCTTGAAGTGCGTGATAACCTACGATCCTCTGCTGGGAACTGGACGCCCCTGTTGCTTTCCTGTCTTCCAAACTCCCTGCACTCTCCTGGAACCCCAAGCCACAAGCCAGGCAGACAAACACGCCCTCCCCACCCTCCCGGTGATGCAGCAGGTGTCCCCTGGGGAGTCAGGGCGAAGAATGTGCACCCACCTGTCTCCGTGGCCAATTGTTGGAGTGTGGATGCTACCACAGAGCATCCCTCTGTGCCCTTCCCAGCCCCGGCATGAGCTGCACAGCAGTGAAATCCATCCACGCTGGCCAGAAACGCTTCTCCTAATGCCATGGCTCATTTCCAAGCTGCTGGTTGATGAAACCCATTGCAATGGCCTCCACAAGGTGCGGAAAATGGGTCACTCGCTGAATTGCCACATCTGCCAAAGTAGACATGTTACATCAACACCACACAAGACCTGCCTCGTGCCTAATCAGGTGTGCAGTGGGGGGGGGGCAGCTGAAGAGAGAGAGAGAGAGAGAGAGAGAGAGAGAGAGAGACAGAGGGAGAGACTTCCACTCAATGGAGTCCATAGCTCAAAGTAACGGCAGCACATGTTTGACCTTTTCATGTTCCAGGAACAATTCAAGGCCCTTTTCCATATGGATTTCTTAATTCTCCCAGCTCTACAGAGACAGGTGTCATTATCATCTTACAGGCAAGGAAACTGAAGCACAAAGAGTTCATGTCACTTACCTGAGGTTATCAGCTAGAAAGCAGGAGGCTGGATTCTGGGACTGAACTTCTCAGTTCTCTGGGTCTCAACAAAGTCATGAGAAGATCCTGGCCTGTTACTTTTGCAAAAAAAAAAAAACAAAAAAAACAAAAAAAACCTAAGGTTCATAATCTGCTGTTATTACAGGCAAACAAAGAAAAATGGAAACGGTGGAGATGACATTAGCAGGTTATTTTCAGTCTCCAGTTTCATTTCTATGGATGCCCTGCAGAGAAAGTGGGTGGCTGGATATGGGGAGCCAAGGTCAGATGATGTTAAGTTTTTCAGGCCTGAATTAGCAGCTGCTAAGATCATGTGGGTTCCCCGGATATAAGTGCTCTGTTGATTGCAAGGTGACAGGTCTCTTCCCCAGGTCACCAGGTGAATCAAGCCTGGTCCACCAGCAAACTTCCAGGATTTGACATTCATCCGTGGGCATTGCCATGGCCCTCCTGTCCCCTGGGTTCCTAATGCACCTCCCCAGGCAGCTTCTGTGTTCTGGGGGTGCTGTGTGACAATTTAGTTCCTGTGCTGAGGAGCTCTGTGCTGAAGACAGAGTTTGCCCTCGTCCAGAGAGGCAGTTTCAAGAAATCACATTTTCAAGGTGAAAATTGATTATCCCTGTAGTGACACAACATTTTGTCTCCTGTTAGTGCCGAGAGAAAAAGAGAGAGAAAGAAACACTCATGCTCTCTCCTCCAGCTCCAGCCCTGTCCAGCAGGAAGCTAACGGTGCAGCAGGAGATACCAGCTTGAGGTTGGCACCAAACCCGGAGACTCCTGGGTTCTCATATCCAGAAGGAAACTCAGAATGCCCTTCCTGGTAAAAGAGAACCTGAGGCTCACATTCTAGGTAAAATACAGTGCCATTTTACATTTCCTAATAGCCACAGTGGGTGGGGAGAGGTGGGGAAGAAGAGGAAGAGGAGAAAAATGAGCAGAAGGAGGAGAGAGAAAGGATGGAGAAAATTTATTCTCGTTTTATTCAGCTCATTATATCTAAAATGTTATAATTTCAGCATGCAATCTTTACACAAATTATGAAGCTATTTTACATTCTTTGTTACACTGTTCTTGTACTTTGCATACAGACTGTCTCGATTTAGACTCAGTTAGCCACTTTGAATTTCAACATTACCCCAGGACTCCGTTTGTCCCTCTGGAGCACTTTGAGGGTGTGGACTTCAGCCTTCCATCTCCAGGGATGTGTGCAGCATCCTGAAATGGTTCTCACTTTAGAAAAGTATTTCTTCCTCCTTCATGGAGCACTCTCCAGAGCCCTAATGAGGATTCTCTCACCCAAGCCAAGCACGGACCTGCGCAACGTGGGCTCCTCTTTCACAGATGTGGACCCCCCACCCCCAGCCCCTCAAGCCTAGGTCACTTGCCTCCAATTGGCAGCCAGCCCCTAGCTGGCCTCAGCACCTGCTGCCTTGGCTGCCTTCTGCTCGGGCTACTCCAGACTTTTGCCAGCTGCTTCTGCCCAAGCCCAGCCCCAAAGCCATTCAGAGCCCAGGCTGCTTAGCACAGAGCTGTTGGCTCTCGGTGGAGATGGCCCTCACTGCCATGACTATGCCGCTGACTTCATTTCACTCATTTGCTCTCTCTCAGTGCTGCATTTGGTCTTGAATCTGCTCTTGCAGGCCCCCCCTCCTCAGCGCTTACTTCCCCATTAAGGCTCAGAACCAGTTAGAAGTTGGCACCTAGGCAAATAGCAAGGAATCGGAGTCGTAGGCTGTCACGAGAGAGCAAGGTTCCTGACTCCCAATTAGGAAAGTACAGGGTTAGGATTGGGCATGGTACATCACAGGAGGGACCCCAATTACACAAGATTCACAGGCATGTAGTCGCATTGAGGAAAACACCACATGTGCCACAAAACGTCATGAGATAGCAAAGCCATGGGACATGATGGCAGTACAGTCCAGTGAAAGTAGAAGGGAAATAAGCAAGGTCTTAAATTTGACTCCATCACTGGTGTGTGCTCATAAAACCTCTTGCATTATTTAGCTGTCCACCACTGGAAGGAATACCTGAGCTAGGTATTGCAGAAGATGGGTTTGCTTTGGTTTACTAGTTCTATGGCTGGCAGATGGATCGCATTCGAGCCCCTGGTGAGGGCTGAGTACCTCATGCCTGGGGGGAGCTTGTGGCTGGGACGTGAAAGGGGAAGAGGAGAAGACATGGCTCTGGCTATCCCTGTCCAGGGCATGCACCCAGTGGTGGATGCCACCGAGCCCCACCTCCCGAGCCTTCCATCTCCTCCCCATAGTGCCTAGTTGGGCACCGAGCCTGTAACACATGAGCTGTGGGGGCCGCTCACATCCAACCCTCAGAACTCCCAGAAAACCAGAAGAATATTGTTTTCCATCTGTCTTTCCACTAGCATCATGAGCTATGTGGAATTTATGTTTGGAAGAGAACTATAACTATACTCTCAGTTCAAAGGGAAATTCTTTTGTCCTGAGTAATAATAGAGATCACTGGACTAAGCACTACTCATAAATAATTTTTTAAATGACTACCATATTCTTCAGCTTTCCAAGAAAGCAAGAATCACTGCCCATTTGAGAATGCTGAAGCACGGAAGTAGATGAAGAAAGGAATGGAATCAATGAGAAAAGGTGAATGAAAAGCCAAAGAAAATGACCCTCATCCAGAGCCCTCACATCCCGTCCACACCAAATACCTTTCTGCCCATTGGCTTCCCTGTCACATGAGTTGCCTACTTTAATTTCTCCAGATTTAGAAAGCATTTTATTGGCAACACTTGAGATAAAGATTACATGGGATGTGCAATATTCACTTGGGTGTTATGGGGCCGGGTCAGGGCAAAGAATGAGGCGGTCATCCTGAGCAGCTGTTTGTATGAAGACGCCTTTTCCACAATCAATTGGTAAAAATGGCACACACGTGCAGATGCCATGGACAGAGAAAACAAAGAGTTGGTTGAGATTCGAGTCTGGATTTAAAGTCCTGGCAGCAGCCCATCTGAACCCCAGCCTGTAACTCATGATGGTTATACTCCTGAAGTGGATATTTGCACTGTTGGTTTAAAGATGGCTAATGATTCTCCAAGGCACTCCTGGGTGTGGGAACCACCTGCAAAACCCAGCTCATGCGCTGTCATGGTGCCTATTGAAGTGGCCCAAACTCCACAGCTGTTGTCCGTCCTTTCATTCATCCAAGCCCTCGTGTCCCCACCAGGCGGGGGCCTCACAGGTTGATCTGAGTCTCGCTGGCAAGAAACCATATTGGGACTGAAGCAGCCTGTTAACCTCACAACCTCAGGGCCTCAGTCTAGGATCACTCACAGTAGGGAATCAGTGTAAGCCTGCCAAAGAACCGTCTTTGGAGGTCTCACACCCCCTGCCAAAGGTCTTCCTTCCCTAGTGGCCATCAGCCCAGCAGCTGACATTTATCAAAGGTAGCTTTGTCCCCGCCACCACACTCATGAGTGGAACCTTTATTTGTATCTTGCATACAAAGGGGACTACAGCACGCAAAGATTCAGTAATATGTCTGTCTGATGCCCCTGCCAGGAGGTGACAGAGGCAGGGTGCTCGAACCCAGGACCAATGGCCTCCTTGTTTCAGACACTAGATTGTGACACTTCACACAAATTGTCATTCTGTGTGCTCAGAAGGCTGCAGTGACCCATAGTGCCCCTTCCCTGGGGGAGAGAAAGGAAGGGCCATTCTGTGGCAAGGTGGCCACTTTCCAAGAGCACCTGCTCCTGCTTTCCTTGAAGGCCAGCACTCTCATTATGCAGGTCGAAGCTCAGCTCAGCCCACAGGCTGGAGGAGAAGGCCGATGACTCATCAGTGCAGTAGTGTGCACCGTTGAAAGACACTTCCACCGAACACGGCCCAAGCCAGGCACTGGTCATGGGCAGGGACATCACTGACCCTGTGTGCAGCCAAGAAGCAAGACAGCCCACACTTGGAACCAAATGCAGAGGTGAGACCAAGTGTCTTGGGGACAGTGCAGAGGGAGTGGGAAGATTACACGTCCAGGTCATTGCCACCTCCGAGAGGTGAAGGACCAAACAACCCCAGCAGGTGCACTGGGAGTGTCCCTGTCATTTCTAAGTAGTTTGTGGTTGGCTTGTTCCCTGGGGACAGCTATCTGGGGGGACGGGCAGGGAGGAGAATGCATGGCAGAGTCACTTAGACACAGCAGCCCTGGACTGAGAGATCCCCAAAGCTGCCTTCAAGTTCTCAGGGGTTCACTGTGGCTGGAAAACATCAGGTGCTCTCGCTGCCATTGTGGACACCTAGGCTGACCCTAGTTAGTGACAGGGGCTGCTGTGTCCACTGAGGGTCTCCAAGCTTCCTACACTTTGCCATGACCTAGCAGAGCACATCTGAGCTCCTCTGGCTCCACTCCTCTTACAAATAGCCCGGAGATTTCCCTCTGGCAGGACGCATGGCCCCACCCACTTCTCAGAGCCCTGACCCAGGCTTTGGGGAATCAGCCTTCACCGAACCAATTTTCCAAAGTGCTGTGTAATTAATGCCTCCCAGAAGCAATCCTCTCCTTGTCACCAAGAAGGGAAAAACAAAAGCATTCCTGCAACTGCTTTCTACCTTGGGCTGAGCAGATTCATTTTGAGGCAACTGAGGTACACTGTTAGGATGCAGCAATAACAGAGGCCACTGTGTTACAGAAGGGCTTGACAGGGGCCCCAGGAGCACACGCATCACTCTCTAAATACAGTAGTCAACATAGACATCACTACAATTAGTGGAACAGTTGGGTTTATCGCCCCCTCCCCCATGGTATTTCTGCAAGAAAGTAGCCAGTGTGGTCTATATAACACCCAGCACAGAAGCTCTTATGTATAATTTGTTTCTATAGGGTGCATAGATTTATGCCTTTACTCATCAAGTATTTACTGATCGCCTACTGCCAGCTCATATAGAGGCTGGAGAAAAATACAAATCCCCTTCCCTCGAGGAGCTAGCATTCTTATTATGGAAGCAGGTACTAACAAGGTAATAAGATGTTTCTGCCAAATACATGTTGTAATAGATGCTGCACAAAAAAAAAAAAAAAAATAGAAGTAAGAAATGACAAC